TGTTGAGGCTATACGAGGATGTACCAGCTGCCCCCTCCTATGGATCCATATGATGACTATTATGAGGGGTATGGAAGATCACACACGCAGTGGGAGAGGTTCCTTGAAACAATCTGTGTACCCGTCAAGGAAATTATCTGGATGAAGTATCGTCAGAAGTTTCACTCCTCGACGCTAACCTTTGAAGGGAAGTGCTGGTTGTATGTTATCAACAACCTCCTGATCCTGTCTTCCAACACTACGGAGGTGAATGGTCCTCGAGAGGCTCTGATCTGGTGCTTTATTAATGGTCACAACTTTGACGTGGCCAAAGTGATTCACGAGGTCTGTTGTCTGGTGAAAAGGTATGGGTTCTTCTTCCCTTCCTTGGTTACTCGACTTTTCCAGGCAGCTCGGGTCCCGGAAAATCTAGATGTTGATGGAAGAGTACAAAAAGACCATAAGTTCCAACCAGATAAGGTCACTACGTGTAAGGAGCCAGTGGCAGCAAGTGGTGATGATAGTGGTGAATCTGATAACTCTGAGGAAGAGGAGGCTGAGCAGGAGGATGTGAGGGCCGAGCCACAAGCCCATGAGCAAATTGCAGCAGCTACAACGCCATCTGGGACTGCAGCACCATCTGGAGCTGCTCGGGTTACCCTGTTCACAACTTTGGAGCAGGAGGTGCTGGATTGTATACATCGGTCGCTGACTTGGGTAAACGTGTTGACGCGGTAGCTGCCCAGCAGGTGAAATCGGAGAAGAAAATATTGGGCTGGTTGAGAGCTCTGGGTCGTGCTTGCAATTTGAACCCAGACACAGTCTCCGATCAAGAGTGATCTTTTAGGGAAGTTCCTTTACCTCACTGTTCTTTATTTTTTATGCCATGAGGACATGTCTTCTTTTTAAGTGTGGGGTGGGGATACTTTAATATATGTATGTATATGTAACAATTTGACTGTTTGATGTTTTTTTTATTTTTTCTTGATTGTTTTTGGTTGTCAAATTAGGTAAGTTTAAAGTAGGTAAGTTGACTTGTCTCGACGACAGATCTCTTTCAACGGGGTTCTTGAGAGTCTAAGCCGACGTGAAAAAAAAAGAATATAAGGACTCTTCCTAATAACGGATCTTTTAGACAGTTTTCTTGAGGGAAGTAAGTCTAAGGTAGTGTAGTAACTCCCCCTTGGTTTTTCTTTGGGCCACGGTTCTTTTCCAAGGGTTTTGCTTGAACTGAGTATAGTTAGTTTTTGTTTATTTTGTTTTTAGTTTTTAGTTAGTATTGATGGGCTACGAGCTAAAATAGGAAAAGGAACCCTTGGCGTTGATATACCTGAACACAGTAAACACTAGAGTGTAACGCTTAGTCTCAGTGGTTGATTCTTCCTAGAGTGCCTTAAATTGTATGTTTATAACTAACTTGAATACTCAAATGAGAGTATCTTGATAATCCAATCTAGAGTGAGTCATGTGCCATGTGTGTGTGAGTTGTACTGTATTCTATGCTCTACATTTGATGCCTAGAACTTGCCTCGTGTGTTTGCAAAGCAAAATAGTAGCTTTATTCAGTTTTAGAAGTGATATAGACATTTCTTTGTTAAGCCAGATATATAAAGTAGACCCACCTAAATATAATACATCATAGTCAACCCCGTTGAGCCTATAAGCCTGTTTCTTTGGTAACCACATTACGAACCTTACCCAATCGTTTGAATGGCCATCTGTTTGAACCCCTTTACCTCCCATGAACACTTGAATGGTCTTGAAATATGCAAAAGCTAAAGTGTGTGGTGGTGGTTTGGTTTTTGAGTAGAACCGATGAAATAGAGGAAAGGTGTAGTTTTTGGAAAAGTAAAAGAATAAGCACCACTTTAAAAAAAAGAGAATGTGTAAATGTAGTAGTTGATAAGTGGTGACTTGATACAATTTCACCTAATGGAGTGGGATGTTATAAATAAAAATGCGGTGGAATGTCTGGTTGACATAAGTATGGTTTTGAAGGTTAATGTGATTGTATTAAAAGTGCTTAGGGAGGTTAGTCGCTATATCCAAATATATCCTACCCGTCCCTTAGCGTACATTACAACCAAATGAATAACTAATTGATCTTAAACTGAATGGGCTCGATTAGTAGAGTAGTACACTACGGGCAAGACTATGGTGCATCTTTGTGGCATGTGAATGTTCTTTTTTAGAGTGAGCGAATTTGGTCTATCTAAGTTCCTAATTGTGCTTAATATTATTATTTGTGGAACTACTCTCTTGTATGATGTGAGGGCATGTGATTCACCAAGGAAAGGTAAGTCCTGACTTCTGTATAGAGTAACTTGAGTAAGTATGAATATTGCTTGGCACGTGAGAGTCAACTTTTGAGGCAAAGATTGTTCACTACTAGACGTAATTTTGGTGATTTGTTCTTGGTGTGGTGCGTGAAGGGAAAAGCTTAGTGAATGAACCTTTATAGAGTGTGGTGGATTGATCGAGGACTAGCAATGATTTAAGTGTGGGGTGTTGATAATATGCTAGATTCATGTAATTTGGCGATTATTTATGCCCCAGCTTGACTATGTTTCACTATTATAGGATAGTTAAATGATGATAAATTGGCTCTAATTGTGAATTTGATGTTTTGCAGGAGTGAGTTGCGCGTATGAGGTTAGAACTGTATTTGGAGCTAAATTGAAGTATGGGAAGCCCCTCAGAGCTGAGTACGTTGAAAGAAGAGAGAAAGAAGGGCTGAAATGATGACCCAGACTAGCGCGCCCACTAGCGCGACCGTGCTAGCCCAGGAGTTCGAGGAAGAATACTACGCCATATGCGCGGTCAGTAGCGCGCCCACTAGCGCAACCACGCTAGTCCAATTCGGAAAAATATAATTCAGGGGTAAACTTGGAAGTTCTGGGCTAATTTCACTTAACCTATAAAAGGTCCAGCTCGCCCAAAGGAACATTATCAAGGTTTTTAGATTGAATTGGGGGCAAGAACAAGTGTGAGAAGAACAATCAACCATTAGAGTTTTTCAATCTTCTCTTTGTTATATTTATTTGCACATTATGAATACTTTTGTGGTTTTATCTTGCTTTGCTATGAGTAGCTAAATATTTAGTCTAGAATTTTGATGGAACCTATTGAAGGATGAACTTCGTGTTATGTTAATATAGTTTGCCTGGTTTAATCTTTATTTGTTCAACTATATTCTTGTTGTCGTTAATTGATAGGATCCTCAATTAGCTGTGCCTATTTAGTATGTATTACTCGGGAGAGAGTGCATATTTAGGTTATTGTTGAACAACACCACTCCAAAAGTATATGAGGGATCAATAACCGAGGGTTTAAAGGTGGGATTAGGGATAACGAAGCCTTGGAGGCGATCTAAAGTGAGCTGTATTAAAAGCCAGCTAGTGTAACTCGGGAGAGTACGTCTAGTAAATTGTCGTGATTACTTGGGAGATATTTACGGTAATAAGAGTGCTCATGATCGATAGAGACGGTTAGGCAAATCTATGTGAAACATAACAGGAAGGAATTCCATCAATAGGGGAAATCATAACCTTAGATCCTTCTCTTAGTTTTTTACAACTTAATCATAGTTAGTCTTTAGTTACTTAATTGCAGTTAGTTATAGTTAGCAAAAATATCCTCAATTGTTATTCAAAACGTTTGGGAAATTGATTACGTAGAATTTAGTGAGTCTAACAAGAGTAATTGATAGGTTAATTCCTTGTAGGTTCGGCTCTGGGCTAAATACTCAGATTACATTTGCAACATCCGCTTAGCCCTTTTTATAAGGCATAGTTGGGTGTGATCATTCATTAGGACTTTTGGAGAGAATTTCGACCAAAGCTTCATTCGGGTTATACAAGGCGAGTTTTTATCGATGTTTTGTGTTCATTAAAGTTGATTAATACTAGTATTAACATTAAAGCATCCTTTAGTTTGCCAAATTTTATTAAATCAACCAAAAATACCAAAAGAGAGATTTTTTAGGATTTGCTTATAAAGGTAATTTTTACTTCTTGATCCTTATTTATGAAGTATAAATAAGCGTTTTAATGTTATTTATGAGCTGAAGTAGTAGTTAGAAGGGTGAAAGAGATGAACCCTACTATCCTAACTTTGACATTGAAAAGTTTATTAATAGGAAAGATGAATAGTGTTGGACTTCTTTGAACGATATCATTTTGAACTTTTAATGAAATGACTAGATTCCATAACACATTTAATAGATGAATTGGAGTTAAAATTCAAGGATTGATGTTCAATGGTGAACTAAGAATTTTTGTGAAAGTCATGTGAAGTTGGACCTAAGTGATACTCCCTCCGTTCCAATTTATGTGAACTTGTTTGACTGGGCACGGAGTTTAAGAAAAAATGAAGACTTTTGGAATTTGTGGTTCTAAACAAGTTAAAAAGGGGCGAAGAGTATTTGTGTGATCATAAAAGTTTCTCATTAAGGGTAGGATTGTAAGTTTAAGCTAAATTGTTTCCAAATTTAGAAAGGGGTCATTCTTTTTGGAACGGACCAAAAAGGAAATAAGTTCACATAAATTGGAACTGAGGGAGTACGTACTAATTAATTGGTATTGTTGCGATGCATTATTGACATATGAACTCATATATGTAGATATTCACTTGTTGACGACGTTTGAGCTTTTAAAATAAATTGGAGCATCGTAGTACTATGTTAGAGCTTGGACTTGAGAGGTAAATTTATTAGACTAACTCTTTTTGGGGATTCTCTCTAAAGCATGATTTGACTCTATATGTGATTTGTTCGTAGATGTACATTCGTACTTGTGTGGACAAGCGGTAAGGATGTCACAAGCGCTAAATTAACATACTAACATAAATTTTCTTATCAATAAAAGTTCTTTATATTTTCTACTATCCTAAAACTAATAGTTTCCTATGAAACATATAGTAAACATATATTAACATAATTAACATAACTAAAACTTAACCCCAACGATTTCTAAGAAGAGAAATGAAAAGTAATTTCCTAATTAGGCAGATAATCTTGAAGTGCTAAAATGATCGTATTAGTGCATACCCCAATTCTCATGCAGTTTCAAGATTGAGTTCAAGTACCCAAAGCATTTCTCATCGTGCTGATGGAAAATCAAAGCAGCTGCAGTAGTGGCTGGTGAATCAAATAACGATCCGTTGTGTCTCTGATGAAGCATTATCATCTCTTTCCAATGACATAATTCACCGAGCCCTTCAGCAAAATATTCAACATTTGCCATATTCCCCTCGAATCCCTTCTTTAGGGCTCTAATGGTTAAAAGATGGCCCAACAAAGATGAGTTTAGTGATGTAAGATATTTATTAGTATGGTGTAATTAAGTTGAAGCTAGAGTATCAAAATCAAATACATACTAAGTCAAATTGCTGTATCATCTCTCTTTCTCTCTCCTTTTTTTTTTAATTTTTTTTTTATTTATAATTTGTTGGCGTGCATTTGGAGGGGGTGCGTGTTGCAGTCATATTTTCATTAGATTAGCAAAAAAAAAAAAAATCATTAGAAGTGAAACTTTTGTACTCTACGAATTTAAAACTATTTTCTTGCTTTATCATTCAGAATCCGACTATGGGTTGGTTTATAAAAAATTATAGATATTTGTGTGGCTATAAATTTTTTTTATTAAGGATAAAACAAGAAGTTTAAGTTAAAATCTTTTCAAATTTAGAAAGTCGCTATTCTTTTTAAAACGGACTAAAAAGAAAATCTTGCTCTATAAATTGAAAAAGAGGGTGTAATTATTTACTTATGAGTAATTTCAAATTTCATGTTGCTTTGTACTGTTTGGACGGATGAGTAGCTGTGTAAACTTCTTTCTTTGAAAAAATTATTAACTATAATATATTTACCTCTCCTACCGTCTATGATATTTCCTTTCATGCCTATATCCATTCATTTTTTCTAATTCTGGCGATTTACCTTTCCAATTTCAACCAAGTTTTTTTGATATTTCTCTTGGTCATGTTTGATTATTGATTTATTTTATTTTATTAATATATGCATCTTATTAGATTACTCTTAGGCCTTTATTAAAATTTGGCATTGTTTTATAATTAAGAAACATTGCATGAAGGGGACATGCGCAATACTGCAAACTAATAAATTCCATAATTTGTAAAATGACCATTTAATAAAGAAGCATACCTTTCAATTGTTAATTCGCGTTCACAGATCATCATATTTACAAGGTTAGGATCCAAAGGTAGATCCAAATTCAGTTTCTCTGCATACTTGATCATGCTGGGAAATATAATTTCAAATCCTAAAAGTAAAATCTGATCCTCGTTATCAACTGCCCAACCATGCGTTTGAATAAAGTCAAGGCCTGAAAGAAAATGAATGAACTATTCAAGCAATAATACTACAAAAGGCAAACTCCTTTGCTCACTCTTTCTTGAACCAAGTCAATGGCATTACTTGAGTTTGCTCATCATCTAGATAATTGACAATAATAACATGTAACAATGTTTACACCAAACTAATGAATGTAAGCTATGTATCTTTGATCCATACATTATTATTTGACCATAGTTAGGTGATATATATATATATATATATATATATTGTTTCTCGCTTTATATTTTTCTGATAAGGTTAAGGTATTTGATTTGATATACTCATTGGATGCAGGAAGTATATATCTTTCCTTCTCATAGTTTAGTTTTTGCTTCCCCCGTAATTCAATCTTTTTAATTGAAGCCATAGGGGGTTTGGCATTAACCCCTACTTTATATATTAAAAACAAAATTTATTAGTACATAGAAGGAGACTAAAACCAAAACCTTCGAATAAGATAACTGATGTGTGAACAATTAAAATTAGAATACTCTGATACAGAAAATATTACTATCTCTTCTCCATTCAAATGATGTTATTTCTTTAAGTCTATTCCACAATGAGTGATACGTTATATATTTGAACGAAATTGAACTTTGAATTTCTTGTTTTGTAACCCAATAAATGTCATTGCATATTTAAGAATTACAAATTCAAGGGGATAAAAATCGTTCTTCTTTAAACTCGGTGTCATTTACCTCTTTGGACTTGGTTATTGTGACACTATGGAGAAAAAATTAAAATATTTGTTCCCATGCAGATGACATTATTTCTTTAAGTCTGTTTCAAAATGAATAAGTGTTTGTACAATGTTTAGTTTTAAACTACTTGTTTTATCACCCAATAAATGTAGTGACATATTTAATATTAGACGAAAAGAAAAACAATGGTTCTTCTTTAAACTCTACGTCATTTACCTCTTTGGACTTTGTTATCTCCAATTCTCCATTTGCGAAGGGCAAGCAAACATGCTAGAGTGGAAGAAAGGGAGTCCTTGACAAGCAATGGATGGCTAGGATTTAGGCCCCAAGATCCATCTTCTTTTTGATTTTCAAGAATCCAATCCAAGCACTGAGGAAAACATGGTTGGTTCATAGAATATCTTGAAGGGACCATAGCTACCCATGCTGTATCATAGGAAGAAGGAGATAGCTCAATTTTTCCAAATGTTTCCCTTATTCTCTCCTTTGCCTCTTCCTGCAACAACTACTGTTTTACTAAGGGACATTTACACAAAATAACCTTTTCTAAGGTCACTATTTACATTCTGTCTCAATTACTTCAATGGGCGAATTTGCCCGCAGATAGAACAGGAAAGGGTCATACAGTGCAAATAATCCTTTTAATTTAATAATATGAAAATGGAACAGAAAAGCCTCTTAGCTTACCATTGATGAAGCAGTACTGTGGCTGCATCTTACTCTACATGGTTTGTGGCAAATTGCATCTTCTTCGAACAAGGAAACATTGAAAAAAAGAGATTGAAATTAGTTAAAAAAAGAATTGAATGATACTTATCTTCTTGTAGCGTATAGTAATCAAAATTATGTGTCTTACTAGTCACTGAACCTAATTTGATATTTCCCAGCTTATGATCAGGAAGTGGTATGATTTTGCTTCTCAGTCCAAGTATCATTCTAAGCGGAAAACCCGGTTTTTCTTTCTTCTTTTTTTTGTGGGAGGGGAGAGAAAAATGTAGAGATATAGAGAGCACAGAATAGTATATAAATGTTGAACTATTTGTAGATTGAATCAAGACAGATCAACAATAAAGAATTCTAATCCCCTTTGTTCTACTTTGTATCACAATAATTTTTTAATCCGTTGAAAGAATAACTTCTTAAATTTATAAATAGTTTAATTTAAACTTTCTATGTTATTCTTAGTAATAAGATTTTGTAATCTAACAAATGTTATATCATCTTTAAACCATAAGTGTCAGAAGTTAAAAAAATTCCTTTCGTTCTTAATAGGAACAATTATAAAGTCAAACATCTCTATAACAGTCTTGTTTGTTCCGATATTTTTTGGCTGTTATCAAGGGTGACCTTTCTATAAAGCAAGTAAAACAACCGCTTTAGGCCCCATATTTATAGGGCCCCCATTTTTTTGTTACACATAATAGACTATGTATAAGTTTAAAAAAAGAATTATGTAAAATGAAAAAGTTTGATTTCTTTCTTTAACAAATATACTGCTATGATTTCTACCTAGAAAATTGCACTTGAAATGAATATCGAACCCGAATTTCATAAGAAACGTATGATATATAAGAAATAACAATTTAATGCGAATGTTGATAATTAAATCTAAAAATCTTTCGAAAAGTTCTTTAAAGTTGATTACTTTTATACATAATAGACAAGATTATTTTTCACTTCAAAATAGATTTAAAAAATTCGAAGCATATGAAAATATTTTTGGTTTTCTATTTGGCAGTAAAAACTAAGATCACTAGATGTTAAATTTTTTAAAAAGTATTACCTTAATCTTGAATATTCCATAAAGCGTAATAATCAATTCGATATTGATAGTTTAGATTTATTTTCTGAATTAAAAATATTAAGAAAAATTAGTACAATTAGAAGATGACAGTTTCATTGATAAACTTAATCAAATAAAAAGATTTAATTCTTTTCCAAGTGCCTAAATTGCTTATGGAATAATATTCATAACTTATGTTACCGTTGCTTCAACGGAAAGAAATTTTCAAAATTAAAATTGATAAAATCTTACTTAAGAATAATAACGTCACAGGAAAGGTTAAATGGATTAACTATATTGTCAATTGAGAAATACTTATTAAGAGTTATTGATTATAAGAAAATTATTAATAACTTTGTATCTAAGAAAAGCTAAAAAAAAAAATAGACTTCAAATAAATAAAAAAAAAAAAATTAAAAATTAAGGCCTCTTATAAAGTTTGGCTTTAAGCCACAAAATTCGTCGGACCGTCGCTGACTGTTATAGTGAAGTATTGTTATAGAGGACATATATTATGACATAACATAAAACTCAATTTCGAGAAAAACATGATTTTTATAGTTAATTACTATTATACACGAATGTTGTTATAGAGATGTCTCCTGTATATGTGTTGTCAAGGGTCCTACCACTACCATCACGTACATGAAGACTTTACTCCAAAATGGGCTGAATTCCGCCAAACTCGATAAAGGGGTTAGGGCAGGGGCGGATTTCGTCGAAATGTTTTATTAAATATATATATAGCAGTAATCTGCTAAAGAAAATACGTGTACAAATAAAATAAAATGACATCACTTACTCAAAGCAAGCTAATTGGTTCACTGGTTAGTTACTTGAAATGTGAGGCAGGGGTCGGGAGTTTGAAGCTCAGCAGCTTCGTTCCTTTCCTTTAAATTTTTGAGCAACACGTTTGCTTTAAATTTTTGAGCAACACGTTTGCTTTAAATTTTTGAACAACAAGTTTCTCTTTTTCCAGAAGCACCGTACTTTTTATATTAATTAGAGTTAGATGCATTGTAGGATACAATTACTTAATGAGAGCTTTTTCGGCAGTTGCTACTGCTACGTTGAGAGAGCTTTTTCGACAATGAAGTTGATTAAGACCGATTTGCGGAGTCGAATGGATGATGAGTTTTTGAGTATTTGTTTGGTGCCTTATATAAAAAAGGATGTATTTAGTCTTATTGCTAATTCGGTTATTATGAATACCTTCCAAAATATGAAAACTCGGCGAGGAGAATTGTAGTAAGGTAATTATTTTTTAAATATGATATCGTTACTATATTTGTTTCTTTATCTACTTTAAATGTCGACACCACTTATGAAAAATCCTGACGTACGTCTCTGGGTTAGGGAATAATTAAATTCATTTATTAGCCGATTTCATATTAAAATGATGATAAACGTGAACGGTTAGTTTTTGGTGACTAATGAGAGCTAACACTTGAATCTTGATATCTTCCATTACATGAACAAGTCGGCAAAAAACTGTTTAATGAGTAGAGTACCAATTAAACAATTTATACTATTTTATTTACTTTTCTAAAAATATCAGACCACAAGTATGGCGAAGGATTAGGCCTGAGCCGGTAAGCCCTACTCATAGATTATTAATTACCCAAAAAGGGAATATATTGAGTTGAGGGACATGCTGCCTAATCTGCCTAATTACGTACAAGATGAAGATTGAAAAGGTCGTGCAGTGACTTTTTGTCCAGTTTTGTTCAATGGTAGTGCAGATTAATTACATGTGGCAATCCCACTATTATATGGTTGAGATTAACTATTTTAAATATGATAAAATAATGTTGAATAAAATATAATAAAAAATCTAAAGGCCGCCGATGGAACTGTTTAATGCAACGGTATGCCCCTTGAAAGTCTCTTCTTTAAAGCTGCACAACCCAACATATGAGGCCCACCCATTTGAGCAACATAACAATAAAAAAAATAAATTTTTTACCTCCAAAATCCTTACGAAATATTCGAATACCAAGAGGAGTAAACGAAATTTTTGGCCATACACGAAGAACCTCCCCTGGAGAAAGAAAGTGAGGTTTGTGGGCCCACGACTTGACTTTGAAGGATCACTATATGATGATTATGACTTAATTGAGCCTCCTACCAACTTTGATTTGGACGATGATGTTGCTAAGAAGACAGAATAGCTCATACGTGATATGTACGGGAAGATCGTTGCTCTGCTTAGGCAACACGATGCGACAATGGCGGCGGGATTATAACCCTAAAGAAGATATGCAGATGCTCATCATGAATTTGAAGTATTTGAAACGCAAGACTCATCCCCTCCACCAGATTGTTATCTAAAAAATTTCATTTCTTATTCATCATTTTCTTTCTTCTACTGTGCAAAATCATGCTTTAAAATTTTTTTTCATTGTAATTCAATATCTCATTGTATTCCATGTATTTCATTGTATTCACTATCTTTTTTTCTCATTGTATTTCAATGTATCCCGTTGTATTCTATGTATTTCATTGTATTCACTGTCTCGCTATATGTCATAAATGTATTCATAAGGTTTTTTAATTAATATAATTTATGTATTCACATCTATTATATAATTTCTCTAAAGATTGCTATGTTTTTGGGGTATTTTTTCGGTTGAGAATCTTTTTTATAACTGAAAATACAAATTTTGTGTGTTATAATTTAGTATGTTGAGTTATATTAGGAGTCTATTATGTTAATTGATTCACTTTTCTTTTTAAAAATAGTGTAATCCCCTATTTCACGCCGTGAATACAGTCGAATACAATAATTTGTCCAGCTGTAATCTCATGTTTCACTCCATTAATACAGTCGAATACAACAACTGATTAGCTGGACTTCCCTGATTCACGCCTATTTTTGCTACTGTATTCATGAATACAATAGCTTAAATACATCTTATAACCACATAAAAGGTATCTATAATCCGTAATATAGCAAATGATATTTATAGATGGCTAATTACTACTAAATGATAGTGCTTTATGAAAATTTCTCTAAAAAAATTGCTGGAATAATTTTAGTAAAAATAACACGGTATAGCCAGTTTTCGGATTGGTCATTCAAAAATAGCCAGCGTTCTAAGTCAATGAAAAATAGCCACTATTTTGATGCAACAGAGACCGGTCCAGCATAATATACTGGAGTTCAGTGCACCTGTATATGAACTCCAGCATATTATGCTGGACTGGTATACTTTGCTGGCTCCAGTATAATATACTGGAGACTGGAGCACCGATGCTCCAAACTTCAGTATATTATGCTGGATCGGTATACTTGTTGGAACTCCAGTATATTATGCTAGAGTTCTAGTGTACATATGCTAGAACTCCAGCATATTTTTCGGGTTTTGAATACTGTTTTCGCTCAGATTTATCTTTACATGAAAAGTGGTTAAATTCGATTACTTTTGAAACTAGACTATTTTTGAACGACCAGTTGTAAATCTGACTATTTTTGAATTTCTCCCATAATTTTACTAGATGAATTAACACCTATTGCTAGAGCTCGACTCAATAATACAACAAAAACTATAATGATCCACTAAAATCTCATTAGCGGGGTCTGGGGAGGGTAGTGTATACGCAGACCTTACCTCTACCTCGAGGAGTAGAGAGGTTTTTTCGAAAGACCCTCGGTTCAAGAAGTGAAGGGCCTAACCGGCTCGGGTGAACCCTAATTAGTCTTGGTTTTAGATAACGAAAACACAAAAAATGGATATCGTGTGTGGGAAAATATTTTTAGGGAAAACGAGTGGTTTTATGACTTATTTTTCCTTGTTTGATTGGTGAGTGTAGAATTTTTTCCGAAAAATATTTTCTAGTGTTTGATTTGAGAGAAGAAAATATTTTTTTATGCTACTCTCCTCACTCACTCCCTTTTTCCAAGTCCCCATATTTCATGTACTCTCTC